AGGCCAAGCGCGAGTTTCGGAGCATTTGGAAGTCGTTTGGTCGAGCCACGACCAAAACACGGGCAGGAGGCCTTCAGAACACTGCCGTGTTCCTGGCCGTGTTTTTACTGCCGAGGCTTCCCAACATGTGAGCTACACCAGCTAAAAAACACGGGCGGGGTCAACCAGAACACGGCCGTGTCCCACACAGAACACATCCGTGTTTTCCCCAGCCCGTGCCCGTGTAATTACCACGTGGCAGAGGGCACGGGCGGGCTGGATCAGAACACGGCCGTGCCCTCGACCGTGTTCTGGCCAGCGATGCCCTTTTAGGCAGATTTCAGCCAAAAAGAGAGGGGATTCGAGTTTTAGAGAGACAGAGCGATTCCTAGAGAGAGAAAGCGACGAACAAGAGTCTCCAAGTGCCCTAGCTTGATCTTCATCACCATTGGAGCTTGGCTTGAGCTTGGAAGAGTGCCGATCAACGTCCAGGAGCTGAAATCCATCCTTCACAGTATGGTTTCCGCATCTGATTCTGCTTTTGCTTCTTTCTCCATGGAGTAGTTCTCCCATTCATCTGGGTATGGAGAACCCTAGATCTGTATGTTAGAATTGATTGTATGAACCCAAGTACTGTTTCTATGATTTGATTATATTCGATTGAGGTTTGAATGATTGAATGGCATGAATCCTGATCAAATTCCTGTTGTTTCTGCTTTAACCTAGAATGAGAGTATCTGCCTAGGTTGATAGAGCACCCTTAATTGAAGGTAGTGAATTGGTGACTTTAGTCGAGGAGCCAATTCGCTATTCTGTACCGAATTCAATTCGGTAGTGGAGGTTTGGTTCGTTAGGGCCTCAATCTGTTTACTCCGGTGGAGGTTAGTCGCCCGCTAGAGACTCAGATTGAGAGGGTCTGGAGACCTTTAGTCGAGACTTCAGGCTAATTGAGAACCTTCCGCAGTATAACTATCATAGAAATTAAACTTGGTAATTACAATCCGGCTTAACTGCAGACTAGGGGGAACCATATCCGGGTGACCTCTCTTAACCTGAAAACAACCGTTTAGTTGCTTTGCTTGCTTGTTAGTTTAACCTTCACTAAAGTTTCATTGCTAGATAATACGAATTCAATGAGTAGTCATCACATCTAGGACCCGGGTTGACAATAAAACCCAAACCCGCTATACTACGCTTTAGGAAGTGGTTACACTTGGCCATTTTCTAGAGTGACAGTAGGAGTGAGTCATCGTTTCTTTCTTGTGCGATAGATCTCTCTTCCATGATGTGTAGCATTCACGTTGTCATTAGCTAAGATGATGGAGGCATAGGAATAGCCCACGACCAAATTGACTGTCCTGGTGTGTCATACCCCCCTAGTCAGCCCCTTTGAGCCGTGTAATTTCCTTTCTTTCGATCTACAATGGAAAATCACCCTTTCGCATCTCTTAGAAGGTTCCATAGAGTGGTTTGTGCTTGTTCTCTGCTGTTTCTGCTAAAAATAATGTGAGGGTTGTAGGTAGTGCTTAAAAGTTGGGCATGTGTTTGAAAAATGTGCAGAGGTGGTGGTTCTCTCAAGAAATGAAAAAAAAAAGAAGAAAAAAAGATGAATGAAAGCAAAAGAGAGCCACTACCAAAAATCCGAATCATGCTCATTAAGTAGTGTTTCTTAGCAGTCTGGCTTAGAAATACTAATATTATTGTGACCTCCTTCGTTCTTGTGCTCTAAAGAATTTGAGTAATGCAGAATGGCAGAAAAAAAGTAACGGGTTTGATTGACTGTGAATGTGTTGGGTTTGGAACTGTGAAACCTTGTGCTATGAATACTTGAACCTGTGTCTAAGACCTCCGGATTTTGAACCTGTCCAAGACCCTAGCTAGTCACTAGAACCTGTGTCTAAGACCTCCGGATTAGTTAGTGGTGACATCCCTCGTGTGAACTCTAACATTTAGAGGCTGCCATCATGGTGAAGAGACGTTAGGATTTGAGAGAATAAGCATTGCGCATTTTTCGCATTAAATTGTCCTGACCCCACTGGTCGAGAGTGAGCGATTCATTTCCTTGTTCTTTATGCTCTTTACCCCGGTGAGGACCTAGATGGCTCAGTCTTGATTCTGATGTCTTGAGTTTGATGCATGCGATGACTGTCTTGGTTAAGTGTTTGAGTCGAGTCTATGTTGATTGGTGAACAAAAAGGATTCCTCTTCCTTTACCCAATTTTGCAGCACTCGAATGTCCTCTGTGGTGGTTGTCTAGGTTGCTGTTGAGTTGTCCATATGTCAATGATCAAAAGCCAGTATGATTCACGTATTGTGTGCCTATATAATATGTCCCCAAAGTTGGTATGATTGAAATTTGTTGAGCTTACCTTGTATCTGACTTGGTTTGCTTGGGAACAAGCAAACGATTAAGTGTGGGGGAATTTGATGACTAGATATATACACATGTTTTTGTCCACCATTCTTATACTGTTTGAGCCTCATTTCTCGTATCTTAGGCCGATTTCACGCTAGGTTGTTCTTGTTGGTGATATTTCAGGTCCTAGTACGTGAATGGAGGTTTGGGAACGAGTTCGGGGTCGATTAGAAGAAGATTGGACGTTTGGCTAGAAGCTGAGGAAACCACATGGCTAGACTTAACAGCCACACGACCGTGTGGCGTGGCCGTGTGGAATTCCTTTGCGCGGGCAAACCACACTGGCCGTGTACCGGGTCCCTTGAGGCCGTGTGGAAATCACAGAGATGTTGCACGGGCAGGCCGCGATTTCACACGACAATGCAGTTCTGGCCGTGTGACGTGCATGAAATCACTTAAGTGAAACGCGGCGTTTTACACCTCTACACGGGCAGCTGGGATTTCTACATGGCCGTGTGGTTGGGAAATTCTGGGTTTTAACCCAATTTGGGGTCTTTTGGAGTGAGATCGAGTTTTTGAGCAAAAAACAGAGCTTTAGAGAGAGAAAGTGCGAAGAACAAACCCTAGAAGCTATTTGGAGTGGATTTCTCACCATTCAAACCCAGATTGCATCCCCAGGAGTGAAGATCGACATCCTAGAGCAGATTATCCCCATCTTTATGAGTATGACTGCTCTGATTTCTGTTTTCCTCTCTCTCTCTCTATGGAGTAGAACCTTCTCTCCCTTGGGTATAAGAACCCTAGTTCCATGTGTTAGGAATCTTGATTGTAATGGCTTTGGATTGATATACTGATTGATTTTAATCGATTGATGCATGATTCATTGAGTCAATTGAAGTCTGATAATCTTTTCTTGATTTTTGCTTCAACCTGAGATAGATAGAATCTGATTAGGTTGTTAGAGCTTCATCAATCGGTAGTGATAGATTGGTTATACGAGAGTTAATCGATTTACTGCTTTGTACTGGAAACCAATTCCTATAGTGGAGTTCTGTGCTTATTGCCTCAACAGTCTATCTCGGTGAAGGTTAGTCGCCTGCCGGTTAGTCTGCCTGATAGGGCTTGTCCAGCTTAAGAGATTCCAAGCTACTGTCGGATCTTCCACAGTTTAATCAACAGTTAATCAACCCAGGGCAATTACAGCCTTGACCTAACTAAGGAGCTAGGGGGACTCATTCCCGAGTGACTCTTACCTTGCTAAAGAACTTCGAACCATTTCCTGCTTTCTTACTGCTTTTACTTAAAATCACAATCACTCGACTTAGTTTGCTAGATAATAGATAATCATGGAGTAGGCAGTAGATCTAGACCCCGGGTTGACAAATAGAGCTTGCCACTTTACTGCATTTCCGGACTGCGATTACACTTGGTCGCAGTTTGGTGTTGTTTTTTAGCGTGTCTACTGCCCATGAGATGGAGCCTCAACTGTCACCGCCGGGGGATCTCCCTCCACGACGAAGACCCAAGCGAGGCGTGTCCTCCTCCGGTTCTTTTATTTCTTTGATGGATTTCTTCATCGTGTAGTTCCAACATATGATTTTTAGTTCTAGAATTTAGGTCTCCAGAACCAGCAACTTTTGGACCATCAGTTCCAGTTCCAGCAGTAATACACGACCCATCAGGCTGAGTATGCCGCCCGCATGACTACTTATGATGAGCGCCTCTACCGCATCAAGACTTAGCCGGGCGCCACCCTCGCTCATATCGAGCGTGAGCGTGGCCGCAGTCGCCGACTGATGGAGTACTAGGAGCACCTGCTCCAGTCCTCCCACCCGGAGCACCAGTGGACTACTCCGTGGGTGCACTCTCCACCACCAGCACCTCCTCCGCTAGGGGATTCAGATGACATTATGGACTACATCAACTTCGTGTTCGAAATTTTAAATTTAAAACATGGGGTAAGCCCAACGTGTGTGGCACCATTCATTGCACAAATTGGGTTTGGAAGAGATTTTAGTGATCCTTAGCAGGGTAGGCTTACAAGGTGAAGCTAAACCGTCTTTAGTACAAGTAAAAATTCCACCTGTTGAACGGTTTGCCTACTCGAGGATGTGTTTTTAAGGGCATGGATAGAGCTTCCAATCCTCCTTAATTTCAATGACCCTCCGCACGAATTGAGGAAAATGAGTTAAAAGAAGTACTCTGACGAGCAACAGATGTACAAAAATTGCTCTTGCTCAACCAATAAGGGTCGACTTCGCATAAAAACTCCAGTTTGGAACCCCAACAAAGTGTGAATGTGAAAAAAGAAAAGAAAAATAATAAGGTAAAGGGGTTCCAACGAGTGGAATGGAATGAAAGAACACTCAATACGAAGAGTCATTGGTTGTTGTGTTGTGTGAGTCTCTTTGTTCATGAATTGTCTGTCCTAGGTCCACTACTTCACATGATCTTGGCTTGAGTCTACTACTCGTTGACCTCGTAAGTTGCTAAATGACTTAGGAAGTCCTCTACAGACGATCGGGGTTGCATGTTGCTGTAAAGGTGTGGAGTGTTGCATTGGTTTGATTCAAATTTGCTTGGGGACAAGCAAACGGTTAAGTGTGGGGGAATTTGATAACCCGATATTTGCATATGTTTTGCTCACCATTCTTGCACGGTTTGAGTATTAGAGTATGTGTAGTACGAGTAGTATTAGAGTATCTTGCCCTACCATGCCCCTTCCAGTTTCGCGTGCTCAAGGTTAGGGTTTAGTCTTGATGATGAAGCCGTCAACGGCTGTTTCTCTCGATCGGCTAGGCTGAGCAGTATGCTATCTCCGATGCCTCGGTTCTGCTGGGTTTTATTTGAGAGCAATGTTTGGGATCGACTCGGCAGCGATGGAGGCAGTAACAGCGGGCTCAGCCCGTTTCCGGCCTCTCCTCCGCAGCTGCAATACCGTACGGAAAGCAGCAGCATCTAGTTCAAATGCTGGAAAGCTTGGTGTTTGCGGAACCAAGCAAGCCGGCCTACGCCGCAAGAGACAACGAGAAGCTGAAGGTCGGCCAGTTAGTGCCAAATCTGATTCCCTCATCAGCGATATCCCCGATAGTCTCCTCATCTACATTCTGCAACGCCTTCCGAATCCCAGATCGGTTTGTGCGTGCAAATCCGTCTGCAAGCGTTGGAACCTGCTCATCTCCGATCCCGACACCCTCCAGCAGTTGGTTTCTCGCCACAGGATCAATCTGACCGGCGAAATGGAGGAGAGGCGACCTCTGTTGATCTATTTCGATCGGCCCCAAACACACGAATCAATCGTGAGGAGCATCGTTCCTTCACATTTCCTCTCCAACAATGTTCCCTATGATGACCGCCACACTATCCAAGTCATCTCGTGCTGCAACGACTTGCTCCTGTGCGGGAGGATTAGACCTAAAAACAGGTACCGCAGGAGGTTCTTTGTCTGCAATCCGTTTACAAAGCATTGTGTCACACTCCCTCTGGTCCCTCGACACCTCACATATCGCGAAGGATTCTACTTTGGAACTCATCGTTCGGGTACCGAGATGGAGGCATCCCTAATTGGATTTGTTTGCGAACCCTGCTTTTATTATGATGATGCATCTAGCAGTAGTAGTCATGTGGGGACAACGCTGCTGAAGAATCCCAAGTTTCGATTCCGTGTAGTGTTCTTTTTCAAAAGTCGTAATGGTCTTGGAGTGACCACCTTCTGCTCTGAGTCGTGGGAGTGGAAGTTCTCTAGTTATGGATATCAGGAAGTGGAGGTTGAAGAAACAGTTATACCTCCCACCGCACCCTATATTGGCATCGGCAATGCTCATTCTACCTCTACTTCAGCAGGGACGAAGCTATTTTGGAAGACTGCGCAAGCCAAGGTTGCTGTTTACGATCCTTTCAGCGAGCAAAGTCCACCACAGATCAATTTGGTTGATTGTTCTCATTTATGGTCCAATGATATTGTTAACTACAATTTCTTGGTTGGAGTTTCCCAAGGCTTTTTGCGTGGGATGGTGTTTCCACGCCCAGGTCCATCAACCTACAACAAAGATGGATTCTTTAGTCTCTGGAAGCTGGAAGAGGACAAGGACTTGGTGGGCGGCTATAGATGGAGTTTGGACTATCAGGTGTCCATGCGAGTGTTATACAACGTTATTGTCCGACGACATAAAATGAACAAGATAGAAGGAGGAAGGAGGAAGAAGACACGGTTGCGGGTACTGGGTGTTCACCCAAGCAGGCCAGAGGTCATCTATTTTGAGTGTTTCTTCTTTGATTTCAATCATCACTTCAGAGATGGTCGCATTGGCGACCTGAAACTGCCTGAGGATTATTCTTGCCATCCTATTTATGTTGTCCCCTTTGATGTGCTTAGGCATAAGGTAGTGGGAGAGATTATACCGATTGCTGATATTAATGCGACCCATCTTAGGTTTAAATATTGGGGCAGGTTTGGAGTAGGTGATCCAATCGGCTGGGCTGTATTCCAGCCTTCGATTCCTTTTTGGCCGACTCCAATTCCAGTGCCAGATGTTGCAACCGAATTTGCTGAAGAACCAGAGGAGAACATCAAGGAGGGTACTGTGGGATTCATGTACAGTGTCTGGTGACACAACTGATAAACTAAGCATAGATCTAGATGAGCAGCAGAGTGTGCTGTGGTTCGTCATCAAGAATAGCGGAGTATGGCTAGCTTACGGTACTGAGGCATGGAGGAAATCTAGAGTGAAGGTGTGAACGAGTTATTGTTGTATTGTTCCGGTGCTGCAATGATAGTGTTATTTATGGAGTTGTGGTTATGTAGACGGATGTGTATGATATATGATACTCGTGCATCTACCTTTGCTTCTCTGGAAAATGTTCCTCAAATGTTTTGCGTTCTGCCTTTTTCAGTTCCTGGTAATGTAGTAAAACCTTCTACTGGTTGCTAAAAAAAAATAATAATAATAAAAAAAAAAATATTAGAGTATGTGTAGTACGAGTAGTATTGTGTTATACTACGAGTACTAGTATGTAATTGGGTAGAGTTATATTCCTTATTAGAGTCGTAGAAGTTAGGTTATTTCCGTATTAGTGTTAGGGTTATTATAGAAGTCAATCTCTGTATTCTATATAAACCCATGTGGTTTCAGTAATAAGACACAACAGTTTCCACCGTATTCAGATTTACTAACATGGTATCAGAGCCTGGTTACTGATCCAGAAAAAAACCCTAAACCTCTTTTTTCTTCCTCCGCCGCCCACCATGAGTCCGCAGTCGCCTGGTTCTTCATTCCAATGCTGATTTCTTACGCCAAAATAAATTGTTTTTCTTCATTAAAAGCTTAATTTCGTCTTATTCGTCCCCCACCCTTTGTCAAACCCTTGTTTCCCAGCTTTATCATCCGTGCCGATTCAAATAGCCATGTGCCCATGCCTCTGTCCCACTAGTTGGATCCAGCTTGATTATTTGCAATTGATACAAAGGTTGTTTCAGACTATGTTTGCTCGCTTTGCATGAGAAGGTTGTTCCACCGCCCCGAAATCCCCATGTTCACTGTTGCCCGTGTCCGGGACGAGAAGCTCTTTGGAAGCACTAGGTCATCCACGTTGCCAAGCAGGAGGGTAATCCATGTCGACTTGTCCTTCAAAGATCCAGATGCTTGATTTCGTTCTGTTTTATGGTGTTGTTCGGAACACCTTGATTAAAGATGTTGTTCGGAACATCTCTGTTTGATAAATGCTGTATGGAGCATTTTTGGTATGTTTCTTCGTTTCGATGATGCTATATGGAGCATCCTGATCGCCATGTTGCTGTTCGGAGCACGTGATTCTGTTTCCGTTTCGATGATGCTGTTCGGAGCATCTTGATAGCTGTGTTGCTGTTCGGAGTATACATGGTTTTGTATTGGTTCGACGATGCTGTTCGGAGCATCTTTGGTTAGTTTACGTGATAATCAGTTTCTGAAGCTTCCTTGGAGGACAAGCGTTTGGAACGACAAGGCAGTTTTGGCAAGAGATCTCGTTACATCCATTAATCACCATCAACGTTTTTGCGGGGCGTGGTTATCTTCGACATTGGCGTAAAGTTTGGGAGCAGTAGTGGTTATCAGTGTCTTAGTTATAGATTTTTTCTTCTTCGTTTTGTGTTAGTTTTTTGTTTCGGTTTTCAAATTGTTGGTAAGTAATTACCATCAATTTGGGGAAGGTATTAGAGTATGTGTAGTACGAGTAGTATTGTGTTATACTACGAGTACTAGTATGTAATTGGGTAGAGTTATATTCCTTATTAGAGTCGTAGAAGTTAGGTTATTTCCGTATTAGTGTTAGGGTTATTATAGAAGTCAGTCTCTGTATTCTATATAAACCCATGTGGTTTCAGTAATAAGACACAACAGTTTCCACCGTATTCAGATTTACTAACATTGAGGATCGACGTTGTCCCCGAGAACGTGCAACGTTGTCTCCACTTAACTTTTTAAGTCTTAGATAATTGCAAAGAGATTAAGACAACTCATATAGATATATTCAATTCATTAATCTCATACCATTCACATGTATTTTTGTTAGGTGGTCATGTCTAATGGCTACAGGATAATGATATATAATAGTTATATGTATTTATGTCAAAGATTAACTATGCGTTGATTGTTTTTTTTATTAATTATATAAATTATATAAGGAGAGGAGATTCTTTTCCTACATAGTGATTTTAAGGAATAACAGAAGTGAATAGAAATAAAAAAGAAATTAAAAAACGAAGTAGAAGGGCTCAGATTCGAAATGAATAAATTCAAACATGAAAAAAATCTTTCTGATTCTAATCGATGAAACTATAGTTAAGTGAATTTGATTGTTATATTAATTTAATTTAATTTATTTGATTATGATATTGTATTTCACAATTAACATTAATTATTTTGGTAATTAACATACTAACCTTTAGAATACCCTAATTCCACTAATTTATTTTTGCTTCATTAGTCTTTAAACCGGACCGAGTTAACGACCTCACCTCACCCTAATTCTACCGTCGTCTTAACTATTCAAGCCTCATGTTAATTGGCAGCCCCTGAAAGAAGAACTAGAAGAAACTGCATTGAAGTGCGAAAGAGCGATTGCCTCAGGTAATCTATTAAATTCTTAATCTATTCAGCATTCCACATCTCCTGGTTTCTATAATGGTTGAAGTCCACTTGACCACTCAGTGAGTGAACATGATGGGTGGAGATTTTCCAGTCGGGGATGGAGTGAGCTGATGTTGGTTGAGCGCCGCGGGGCAAGTTGCTCTTATTTGTTACTTTCAGCTCTACGTCCTGAATGCTTGTACCTCTGCAGACTGCTCGGTCCTTCGGGGGAGAACTTTTATATCTTTTTGGGACTTTCTGGGTTGCTTCCCACTTACTTTGCTGGCCGAGAGCTGGATTTTTTTTTTTTTTTTTTTTTGCAGCAGCCTGGCTGCTGGATTTTGCTGATTGTGCTCTTTGTTTCATTGCAAGGGAGCTGCTATCCTTTTTTTGGTTTTCTATCGCTCAATTCATGAGCTTACTATCTCGGTCTTCTCTATTCTGACTCTTTTCTCCTGGAGATTGGGTGGTGGTTCTTCTCTTACTGAAACCCTTCTTGTAATTTTCTTTTCCTTTCTTAATTACATGAATCATAAAAAACTTCTTCACTTGGATTGTTTGAGGATTAAGATTTTTGGTCATATGGTGCCTTAAGACATGAGCAGCTTTCAACTTGATTCCCCAGACTCTTATTTCATACTCAATGCTCAAAGGATACATGTTTACACTTTTGCATCATTAGGTCTATATAGTAGTTTTAGGATTTTCTTCAAGGACTCAGCATGGAAGATAATGCTTGCATTTGCATGTTCATGCTTAATCTTTTCTAGATAGATATAATTATATAATCAATAAACAGCAAGTCCATGTCCTTACATGTTCATGCTAACCCATAACATGTTAACCCATGTAACTTAATCTAATGAAAAGTTGTTTGAGATTCATATTGCTTTCTTTTGGTTATGTACGGTATCATACCAAAGATGTAACTTGAGATCCCCACTTATAGATTAAGGAACTGTTACTTCTCAATATGCTTAACAAATTAATGACTGCCACAAACCTTTTCAGCTTAACAAATGCTTAACAAATTACTTGTTCTGGCATTGCTAACTGGCATTGACTACTATCAATTATTCGTGCAATCTTTAATCAGCGTAGTCTTTCCCCCCCTTCCTTTTCCGTGCTTGTTCCAGGCTGGAGAACTTGTCAATGTAGAGTGGTTTACTAGTTTCAATACGCCAGACTTCTACTGCCTCCGACGGCTCTTTCTCATTTTGATTTAGAGAGATCATCCCACGCTTGCTGGTGAAATGCTGGATTGGAAACCTTCCCTCGTCTTATTATCAATGCCCCGTGGTGATAACAGCATAAATTCCCAGATACTCAATGAACCTGAGTTTTCTATAAGCACTGCATCCTGTATGATTTTCTAAGCTAGCTTCCGTTAGTGCAGCTAACTTGGAAGTAACCAGGTTATCTTTGTGAGTTTGCAACTGTATTTTTATCCTCAGGTTCTTCTTTTCTATGCATCCTCGCAATGAAATTCCAGATATTGAAATATAACTGTGTTTCTTTCTTCTTCTTATGAGCAGCGGATCTGAATTCTCATGTGCCCTTCTAAGTTATCTTTTGGCAGTGTACCTAACGTCCTAACTGAGAAGTGGGTAGGCCAGTATTATTTTCCTTGGACTTTGTAATGAATTCTATACTCTGGAGAAATCTTCTACTCCGCAAACAGAAAGTAACGCGTCAATGCAACATTGCATTTTCTTAAAATGGTCTTTGATTCTAAATTTTGTCGTTATTAGACGACTCCATTTGGTGATCTTTCCTTCACATTTCTCTTGTCAAGCATTTTGAGTGGTTGCAGTGCCACTGTCCAGAGTTTCTGGGTTGGTGGAAGGTAATTGTATAAAATATTCTTCCCACTTGCACAATTGAGCTCCTGCAAGTCAATTGTTTGTAGCTTCTCAAATTTCAGAAGAGCATTGACTTACCAGAGTTTCTAGGTCAGCACCCGTGAAGCCTCCACTAGGTGTATTAATTTGCGTAATTAACAGTCCATTAATTCATTTCACTTTTGACAATTTTCAACTAGTTTACGTGTTTTTATGTCTTCTCGTGATCATTGGTCTTCATATCTACAATAATTGCCTATTCTCTGTGGAGTCGACTTCCCTAGCCATCCAAGTCAAAGTCACCAAACGCATAGTTCTGCAGCAAGGTATGAACATGCTTTGTCCTGTTTCTCTCGCTTATTTTGTGGCAGACTTGGAGATCTTTTGTTTTATATATAAAGCATTCTCCTTTCCAAGAGTGGTTAACAAAGAAGGCAGTGACACACTTAACTTCTTAGATATGGGGTTTAGCAGAATCCTGAGACCATCATGCCTCTCTCTGAGCTTCCTGATACTGTTGTCTTTCTCCCTAAATCTTCATTGCTCCACAGGTTCTGAAACCATCTCCCTTGGCCGACCTCTCTCCGGAAACCAAACCCTGATCTCTCCACAAGGAAACTTCGCTCTGGGCTTCTTCACACCTGGAGGTAGTAGCAGCTCTGGCAGACACTACATTGGCATATGGTACAACAAGCTACCCGATCAAACGATTGTCTGGGTCGCAAACCGAGACCGCCCGGTTTCTGACCCTACTCGATCATCCCTAAACCTCTCCCGAGATGGTAACTTGGCACTTCTCGACGAGTCAGGAAACACGGTATGGTCCACGAACTCAACTTCCATGGTTTCCAACTCGACTGCAGCAGCAGTGCTCCTCGACAATGGCAACTTCGTCCTACGAGCTGACGTCGAGAACTCGAGTTCGACCATCTGGGAGAGCTTCGACCATCCAACAGACCACTGGCTTCCAGGTGGCAAGATAGGGTACAACAAGATCAGCAACGCAAAACAAATCCTGGCTTCCTGGCGGAGCCCGCTCAACCCTGCGCCTTCTCAATTCACGCTGGGTCCCAGCCAGAACGGATCGAGCCACGAGCTTCTCTGGAATGGTTCTCAAATGTACTGGACCAGCGGGGTGTGGAACGGCAGGATTTTCAGCCTTGTTCCTGAGCTGCAGCTCAACTACTACGTCACCAACATGACCCGCATCTCCAACGACAAGGATGATTACTTCACCTACGACTCCGCGGTTCCCTCTGCTTTCACCAGGTTCGTGGTGGAGTCGAGCGGGCAGCTGAAGCAGTACGTCTGGGGCAGGAACTTCACGAGCTGGACTCTCTTCTGGACCCGGCCAACTCAGCAGTGCCAGGTGTACGCATTCTGCGGGGTTGCCAGCATCTGCAACTTGCAGGACGAGCCTCTTTGTGTTTGCATTGATGGGTTTGGACCGAAACATCAGCGAGATTGGGATTTGAGCGATCATTCTGGTGGCTGCGTGAGGAAAACTCCTCTCAACTGCACAAATAATGCAGTAGGAGAGGTAGACAAGTTTCGAACTTTACCAAACATGCAGTATCCTTCGAATCCAGAGTCGTGGCCAGGTGGAAATCTTCAGGAATGCGAGAGTCTGTGCTTGGCGAACTGTTCATGTGATGCTTTTGCCTATGACAACGGTTGCTTGATATGGAAAAGAGATCATATGTTCAACCTCCAGCAGCTCCTGGAAGCTGAAAGGGTGGGGAAAGATATCCATGTTCGAGTTGCATCATCTGAAATCCCCAGCATTGAAGATAATTCCGCGGTGAAGAAGAGGAAGAAACACACTAGGACGGTTCTGATTGTTGTCGCTGCAACAGTTGGCAGTGGCTTCGTAACACTCTCAGCAGCGGGCCTTCTCCTGTTGGTAATTCTATGGAGGAGAAGCAACAATGCATCTGCAGCGGCAGCAGCTGATGATAAATACGAGCCAAGAGATGACAACAGTTTGTCTTTCTTCAACTACAAGGAACTGAAAACCGCAACGAAAAACTTCTCGGAAAAGCTCGGGGAAGGAGGTTTCGGGGCGGTCTACAAAGGTACACTACCGAATTCGACTCTCATCGCCGTGAAGCAACTGAAGAGCCTCCAGCAAAGCGAGAAGCAGTTCATGGCGGAAGTGAAAACCATCGGAACGATCCAGCACATCAACTTGGTCCGCCTGCGTGGCTTCTCGGTCGAATCTTCGAAGAGATTCTTGGTCTACGAGTACATGCCGAATGGATCGTTGGAATCTCTCCTCTTCCATCAGACGACAGCGACGACTCTGAGCTGGAGATTTAGGTATCAGATTGCTGCGGGAAGTGCCAGAGGATTGGCATATCTTCACGAAGACTGCCGGGACTGCATCATTCACTGCGACATCAAGCCCGACAACATCCTCCTGGATTCCGAATACAACCCCAAAGTTGCGGATTTGGGCTTGGCGAAGATCTTCGGGCGTGAATTCAGCAGGGTGCTGACGACCATGAGAGGGACCAGAGGGTACCTAGCGCCAGAGTGGATTTCAGGTGAGGCCATTACCCCGAAAGCCGACGTCTTCAGTTATGGGATGTTGCTGTGTGAGATCATATCGGGGAGGAGAAACACGGATTCGTCGGAGGTGGATAGCTATTTCCCGTTCGAACTTGCGAGCGCCGTGAGCAGAGGAGGCGATGTGGCGTCCTTGTTGGACGATAAGTTGGAAGGGAATGCTGACATGGAGGAGGTGGGCAGAGCGTGTAGAGTTGCTTGTTGGTGCATTCAGGACAACGAGAAGGATCGGCCGACGATGAGACAGGTTGTTCAGATCTTGGATGGAGTTTGTGAGGTTAATACGCCGGCGGTGCCAAGGTTCCTGGAACGTTATGCTGAGGGTAGTTCGGCTGCAACTATGAACTATCTGCAGGGGATGTCTTCGAGCAAAGAGTAATGGGTGGTTTTGTTTTTTCTTGTATTGCTTTTTTTCCCCGGTAAGTGTATTGTTCTTTTCCCCTTGTCAAGGATTGCCATTTTCAGCAGCTAGTTTTGTCCCCAAGCCTGTTGGACAAGTGGGTTTCGCTTCTGATTGTATAAATAAAGTAATTTACAGTTATGCTTAACTAATATTTTTTTAAAGGTAACCTGGTAATATATATTAAATCAGCTCAATAGATATATCATCCAATGGTCAATCAGAAATACAGGCGCTCTATCGAGCCAAACTTTTCGTATTCCACCTGGTTTCGCTATGGGTCATAATATGTGCCACATGGTTTGCCTCTCGTGGCCGCTGGACACCTCAAAATTTGCCTTATACTTAGACAAATGACCCACTCTTCAGACATCGCCTCTCCTGAGTCCTGCAATTGGCGAACAAGAGACAACGAGTCGACTTCAAGGGCGATGTGGGGAATTCCCAGCTTGTTAGCTAGTTGAACTCCAAACTCTGCAGCTAGAGCCTCCCCCATCTGAACGCTCTAGTGACCTCTATTTTTTTTTGCAGCCGCAGCAATAAATGTTCCACTATGGCATCAAATGACAACGCTCATACCAATCCTTCCTCCCGATAGAAGCCCCGCGTCAGTATTCACCTTCGTCTATCTGTCCGGCGGCTTCCTCCACTTCACCTGCTTAGATCCCAGACTGTCGCTCTCATTACTTCGCTGGTTTAACTCATACTCAATCTCATTCTCCGACCACTTTGGTTCGTCGAACAATTATGCATTTCTTTCCTTCCACAATGCCCATAACAACATCGTCCAACTTTCGAACACCTCTTGTGACTTCTCCTGCAATGCTTTTGTCAACCACTCAAAGGAATCCCCGACACCCTGAACTTCAAAGATATCTACAATAGGTGATGCTCTCCAAATCCTACCACTCCACTCACATTCTCGGAAGAAATATTGTTGAGTCTCTGATTGGTCATAAAATGGGCAAACATTACTCCATTTATCATTTTGGCACTGACCTTTACACCTGGTGGGAGAATCTCCCGGGTGAATCTCCATAAGAAGTTTATGACCTTTGGCGGGACATTAAGCTTCCAGATCTTCTTCCAAAACTCCAGACCCCCTCGCGTCGCTATACCTTCCTTTGTGCTTGAACTCGTCCAGACACATGCGCCATCCATAACGTACTGTGTAGTTACCATAATAATTGTGGTGCCAAATGAGTCGATCTTATTCCTCACGAACGCGAAGTGGGATAGACAAAATTGTTTGCGCGACGTCAACAGGGAAGCATCTTACAATAACCTCGGATTCCCACTGATCTGTTTTGGGGTTAATGAGCTCGCGTACTAATGAGTCCACAGGAAACTCTCTAGGAGCCGAGGTGATGAAAGTATACTCCCCGTCCGGCAGCCAACGATCTCCTCAGATTCTTACATGTTCGTCGTTCCCAATTCTCCAGCGTAAACCTTGTCATAAGAACTCCTGAGAGCCCATAAGGCTGCGCCAAATGTAGCTTGGTTGGACACCTAAATTAGCTTCCAAAATTGTGCATTTCTTATGATACTTTGTCTTCAACAGTCTTGAGATAAGCGACGACGGGCTCTGGATGCTTTGACAACAACACCATATTGAACCCTTTCATGTCTTAGAATCCCATTCCACCATCTTCCTTTAGCATTACAAGTTCTTCCCTTCGCAGCCAGTGTGCTCTACGCTTACTGCCCTTTTGCCCCCACCAGAAGTTGGTGATTAAGTTATGCACTTCATCCAGACTGCCATCTGGAATTTTAAAGACAGACATGACATAGCTAAGTTGTGCCTGGGCAACCAACTTGATTAGTGTCTCACGAGCCGCCACTGAAATTGTTCTTTCTTTCCATCTCTTCAATTTTTTCCGCACCCGTTCCTTCAGCCCCACAAACATCTCTTTCTTTGATCTCCCGACCTCTGTTTCCAGTCCAAGGTACTTATCTTGCTTCTCTACAAACGGCATCCCCAAGGTTCCACCCACAATAAGCTTGTTATGAGGCTTGACATTGGCAGCAAAGTAGACTTCCGACTTCTGGTAATTCAAAAGTTGTCCCGATTCCCTTGTATACGCCTGTAAAATGTGTTTCAACTCCAGACTTTCCTGTTGGGTTGCTCTAGCAAAAATGATACTGTAGTTAGCAAAAAAGAGGTGGTTAATCACCGGGGCTCCCCTTGTCACCTCCAAGCCATGTAACCGGCCTTCGATCATTGCCTTAGTAACATAAGCCGATAAATCCTCCGCACAAACCATAAAAAGATAAAGTGACAAGGGTTGCCCTGTCGTACCCCCTGCTATGAACAACGTTCGGGAGCGATGCTCGTTCACTAACACAGAGTACGATACATAAGTCACTCCCATCATGGAGAAGACAAAAAATTTCCTCTTCATCGACTCGGCTAGGTATAGAGTCGAGCACTGGCTGGTCGTGTGGAGCCATCCCAGCCGTGAACAAGCACAAGCCACCATAATATTCTATCATGCATTCTGTGACTTCGTCCTGACCCACACACCACCCGCCTGCTTCATTCCTGACTCTTTTAATGGTATTCCTCTTCCGCCTCGCCGTTGCTTTTCGGTGAAAAATATTGGTGTTTTTATCACCCCCTTCAGCCAATCAGCACGTTATCTCTGCTTCCAATACTGCTCCTCGTGGTCCAAAACCTTTACCATTTCATTCTCTAGCTGGTAGTATTGGTTAAGAACTTCCTCCGTTTTATGTCTTCTCTCCAGCGAGCAGAGTGAGAGCTATGCGGTTCTTTTGCTTTGAAAAAGGTGGAAACGCCCTCTCGCTCCACTACTCGAGCTGCAATCGGCACTCCTCGAACTTGGCCAGGACATCATGGCCTCCCAGATTCCACCATGCTGCTTCTATCATCTTCAACCACTCATCATACTTTGACCAACGCGGTTCAAAGCCGACTGAGCGACCCCACCTGACTTTAACGTCCCCCGAGCCGCGTGTGTCACATATAATTGGACCATGGTCTGAATTTGCTCGATCCCTATGCTGGACATGAGTGTTCAGGAAAAGCTTCCTCCACCCTTCATTAGCCACAAAACGATCTAATCTCTCTTTGATGGAGCCCCCTCTATGTCGCCGGTTCTCCCATGTATACGGATATCCATGGAAGACCAGGTCCTTGAGACCTATTTCAGCCAGGCAATTCCCTAAATGGCTCATCTCAGACCCGTGCGCACACTTGCCTCTGCTTTTTTCATCAATACATCGAACTTGGTTAAAGTAACCATCACACAACCATGGTCCATCAAACTGTTGCCTAAGCCTATATATGAGATCCCACATCATCCACTTCTCACTACCATTCAGCCATCCGTATATCCGGTGAACCACCATCTTCCTTCAAACTCTTCTAGCAATATCAATAAAGTTGAGGGAGAAATCCATACGTATTATGGCTAAATCCCCCCCCCCCACACACACACACACCAAATGCTTACTCCAACCGCATGCTTTATCTCTCGTCATGATGGTAGCTGGCCAACAATCACCATTCTTAAAGCGACAAGACTCCTTCAAGACTTCATTTTCAGCCATTGTTTGTTTCATCTCCATGAGGAAAACCACATGGGGGGAAGTGCGTCGCACAAGTGCTCGCAAGGAATTAACTGCTCGCTTATTCCTCAATCCGCGACAATTGTAGCTGGGATCATCATTTAATCCCCGAAGGGGACAGGTTCCCCACTGACTCACCACAGATACACAGCTAATTAAATCACAACTAGAGCTCAAGCATAAACTCTAGCCGGGTGTAGTATAAGGAAAGTATGTTTTAATTGTCAAACCCGGGCCTGTCCATGTACTCCTACTTCAATCGGTTAGGTTGTTATCTAGCTAATGTTTTTGGGTTTAAAACTAAGAAAACTACAAATGAAAACAAACAAATAAATTAAATCAAGGTTGTCCCAATGAGAGAAGACTTCACCCGGGTGTTGCTTCCCCTAGCTAACAATTACGACTTGTTGGATCGAATGGTCATGTGTGGTAAGGGGGTTGTAAACCGCAGGGAAGTGCAACAAGTAGCCAAGCGCCACTCTCTCGGTCTCTAGGTCGAGTAAAGGGAATTGATCCAAACCACCAACTTGACTCTCTCGACCTATTGACCAAGGGTTGGCTAGACTTCACCCTCGAATCGGAGTTCGGATGACCACCCACAACCAAACCCTAGGTGCTTATACGAAATAGGAGGTTTGCCTTGCATTAACCTAAATAGGAGACAATGAATTGCCTAAGAAAACCCAGCATTCAAGCCTCTTTCAAAGAAAGGAAGGGGGTTTTCTCTCTATCTAGGTTAGAATGACAATTAGATTGATAGGTTTTCACACAACACTTTCATTCATGAATAATACCTCTACATTCACATTAAACACAACCACACACAAATCATTCAACCCATACAAATATTCACATGTTTCAAGCTAGGGTTCACAACACCCAAGTGAATAGGTAGGCTATTCCATAGCTAGGCAAAGGAAAACAAGAAAGAGGAGAGAAAGAACCATGAAGAGATGACAATCTTCCTTCCTCCTTACTTGAATCCCCCTTGAGAGGTAAGAATCTTCACTCCTCTAGTTTAGGGCAAGCCCAATCTCCTTCTTCCTCCTTTGAATGACACTTTCTCTCTCTAGAATAGGAAGAGGAAACCCTAATCTCTCACTAGAAATCCTCCTTTATTCTAAAACAAAAACCCTAGAAAAAGCTCTCCTTCTCCTTCATGTCACTTCCCCTTTTATACACAGATCGGGCTCAAATCACAGTCCCAGTTCACGGCAGTGAACTCAAGGCAGGGACCGTGATCTTGGGCCAAAATGCGCCGCTTCAATAACTCAGTTCAGAGTCATTGACTTGAGTTCACGGTCTTACAACCGTAAAATGGCTTGAGTCCAGTGAAACCAAAAACTACGCTGGAACCTCCGCACTTCACTGTCTCGGGACAATTGTCACGG